ATCTTATCAGACATTGCTTTTAAATTATTCTCTCCCTCATCTGTTTCAGTGCAGTATACACAATTTATCCAGTTTTTCTCAGTCTTACCCCAACCCTGATATCAGTCCCATTTTACAGCAGTGGCACCATGCGCATTTTAATTTTTTATAGAATGACTCATATAGCATATATTCTTTAAGCTTTGCTTAAGCTGTTAAATAGAATTTTAGAATTAGAGATGTGAAAACTTAGTTGAGTTGTATTGCATTTGGGTTTGAAAGTTAAATATAATGGACATTTTTTAAAAAAAAATCAGAAATAGAAGTGTTAATGTTTCATCATAGTAAGAAAAACTTTAGAGATTTTGAACATGTCATGGTTTTTGTTGGTCATTAAAATGATAGCACAATTTTGTCACTATAACTTAAAAGCAGATTATTATATAATAACCAAATACTCAGAGATAAAGTTATGTTTAGAAAGTGTTACATGATTTTCAAATTTTCTTCTCTCAGATCCATGATGACCATTTACTAGCTCGTGAAAACCAGCAAATAGCCCAGTGGGAGGATTTCATGAGAGAACAGCATCGCAAGCGGGCAGAAGTGGATGAAGAACACAGAAAAGCCATGGAGAGGCTTAAAGAACAATATGCTGAGATGGAGAAGGACCTAGCAAAATTTTCAACTTTTTAAGAACTTGAACTTCAGCAATAACAAATTAATAAAAAGCACTGACTCTCCCACTGCAATATCCACATCAAACTAGTTAGCTTCTGTTCAAGCTTAGCAATATATTCAATGGCACTCTTATAATAGAAGAAACATCTGCTAGAGTCTTGGTTGAATATTTAAGAGAAGAGTGTCTTTCAGTTTCAAGTGCCTACATATAATTACTTGAACAAACAGTATGAGGAGGAGAAATGGGATAAATTTGTTCTTGGTTGATCAGAATTATTCTTGTCTTCCACTGGTAGATCAGAGAATTTTAAGTATAGACTTAATAGAAAAATAGTTTTTAGTTGATTCTTACAAAGGCTTAATGTTAGTATATTATTGAGCTTTAAAAGGCAAGTATAAGAAATACCTGCCATAACTTCCCTGAATATGGGGAAAATGTATAAAGTGTTATTCTGTGAGTAGTGTAGACAAATACAAGTATGCTTTGATTGTATTAAAGGAAGTGAGAGTTAAAAGCATTGTCTCCACCATAGCAAGGTGGTCATGTTGGTCTTTGAACTTACAGTTGGAAAATACTACAGGTTTTACAATGCAACATAATTCTTTTGTTTTTTTTGAATAACAGGACACATTTTCTAAGTTTTGTGGCCTTTCAGCACTTAACTATTTTCACCTTTTAAATATATATAGAATGACAAGCTTTCCAGAGGTGTATTTTGACTTTTCAGTTATCCATTTCAGGTACCATAATGTTGCCCAAAGTATTTTAACACACTTTTTTTTATCTGTTTTGCTATGGATAAGCTTTATAAATTGAATAGTATCTGTGTATGTTTAAGTTGTTTAATAAGTAATCAGCAAATTCTGCCAAGGTTCCCTCCGGAACCTTACAAAGGTTTTGGCACTGAATAAACCCAAAAGTATTTGCCCATATGAGAAATGATCATGTATGTCCTTTGTAATGTTACCGTGTGTTCTTATAAGCAAGTGTATTATGGTGAAATGTACCAATTCTGTCATCACTGTGATCCTGAAAAATTTTGAAATCTAAGTAAATATTAATTTTTTTATTTATTATAAACTAAGCAAAATTAAATGCAATAATCTTAAGAGATTTATAGAAAATGAATGTGAGGTATGATAAATCTTTTAAATATTTTTTATTATTAAACAGTAAAGAAAGAAACAAGAATGAAAGTAGCCAGCTTTCTTGTGTTATCTCAGTGTGGTGACTCCAGAAAATTGACAGTGCTTGCCTGTGTAAATGTCTGACTTAGCGTCAAAGCTTCATTCTTGGCTGCATGTTGAAAATATGATTAAAGTTAATAGAGGAGATGAAATAAGTATTTGACTTTTCTTTCAGAAACACTGAACTACTACTGCCAGTTTTCTGTCTGCTACTGTAGACTTGATAGGTTCATCAGTCATCCCCTGGTACCTGGACCTAAAAAAGAGCACATGCTGACACCAAGGCATGCTGGAATTTTCTTAATTCTCCTTCATTGGATGGAGGAGGAGGCAAGAAACTTCCAAAAATCCCCACATGTAAAAAAGGGAGTGGAACCTTGAATGAAAATTCCCTTTGTATCATAGGCAGGTTTTAGAATGCTTTTAATTGCCTGTGCACTAGTGGACAAACACTTGGAAGCTAAGACATCAAATAGACTGTATTTGAATAGAAATGTATTCTTTAACTCATGATTACTCACCAAAGACATCTGATTGTTTTGGGGTTTTTTTATATAAATAATAAGTACTTTTCCTTATAAGCCTGCACACTTCATGTGAGTATTTGAAAGACTTCCTAAACCTAAGTAAACTGATGGGCTTTTGACTTTTATTATTATTAATCAGATACTTAGATTTTTTTAGGTTGTTTGGTGGTTGGTTTTTTGTTTTGTTTTTTCATTTGCTTAGCTGTTCAATACAACAGGGGCAATCATCAGAACAGAGAAAAAAAACACTGCATGGTTTAAGATCGGCAAGGGTGTACGCCAGAGATGTGTCCTATCTTCATACATTTTCAATCTATATGCAGAACAGATCATCCAGGAGGCTGGACTTTATGAGGAGGAATGTGGCATCAGGATCAAAGGTAGACTCATCAACAATCTGCATTATGCAGATGACACAATGTGTCTTGCTAAAACTGAGGAGGACTTAAAGCACTTGCTGAAGAAGGTCAAGGACTGCAGCCTTCAATATGGATTGAAGCTCAACATCAAGGAAACACAGATTCTCACCACTGGGTCGACTTGCAGCATCATGAAAGATCGTGAAGAGATTGAGATTGTTAACAGTTTTAGTTTGCTTGGCTCAACAGTCATCATTCTTGGTACCAGCAGCCAGGAAATCCAAAGGTGAATTGTGTTGAGAAAGTTGGCTGTTAGAGACCTCTCCAGAGTCCTGAAGAACAATGATCTGAAGTCTGGACACTAAGGTGCGCCCAATCCAGGCTGTGGTCTTTGCAATTAACGTGCAATTTGACTAATTTGCAATTAGACAATGACTAGGGATAATAGAAGGAGAATTGATGCCTTTGAACTGTGGGGCTGCAGAAAAGTATTGAATATAACATAGACTGCTAAGAAAACAAACAAGTTGGTCCTAGAGAGGGTGAGATCAGGCTATTCTGAAGCTCCATCTGGCATACTTTGGACATGTTGCAAAGAGGGACCAGTCCTTGCTGAGGAACATCGTAGGAGAGGAAGACCCTCAATGAGATGGATGGACTCAGTGACTAGAGTAATTGGTGTGGATGTGTCAGATATGGAGATAAGGTTAGCTCAAGATAGAGCAGGGTTCAGAGATATAGGTTCATTATGAGTCACAGGTAACTTGACAGCACCCAACACCAAACAACATTCAATATAGCTAAAAGAGTTGGCTATTTCATCTTTTTATTTACTTATTTATAGTGAATAGTTTCTTAGGTCTGAAATCAGTTTTAATATATATTTTATGTACACATAAAGTTAATGATTACATAAAACATTTCTGCTGTATTTATGCTGTTAAGCACAGAAAATATGGGTCTTTGCCAAACAAGATTATTCAAATGAAATAATCAAGTGTTTCATAATTCTAAATTATATAATCATTTCCTCTTCTGTTTTTACTGTAATTCCTGACTTGCATGTTAGGAAAACGGGTTGTTCCCCTGTTTTTAAATATATGTAGATATAAAAGCTCAGTTCTTGTTAATAATTTATTTTCATTAAATCAAGGATATAAGGTTAATACATGACTAATGTGTTAAATTTAGTTTTATGAACTAGAGCATGTTTAGTTTTTATACATGTTACATGAGTGTTTGAAAAGTACACTTATTTTCTAGTTGTTTGGGGTTAATGAAAATTTGCTAATTGCATTATTCAGAGTGTCCCTTTTTTAATGTTCTTTTTGCTTCTACTTGATCTTTCAGATTCTAAGATATGTTAAATTTTTCCCATATAATTTTTCATATAATTCTGTCATTTTTTTGTTTTATCTATTTTTCAGAATTTAGAAATCAGGTTTAGAGTGGTATTCAGCATGTTTAGAATTGTATTCCCAGAGAAATGAGTCGTATTTATAGTAGTAACCTCTTTCTAGTATTTTTTTTCTTTTGCAGCTTTGAAAAATTTGATCTTTTATGTTTGTGTAGGCTGCCACGACAGGTTAGTATTTGTGTACAGATTTTTTAACCTTCTGTGTTATAGATATGCTTCTTTGGAGTTCTCGTGACCTAGTGGTAAAAAGTTGCACTGCCAAAACAAAGGCAGGCAGTTCAACTCTACCAGCCAGAAGTTGTGGGCAGTCTCCTTCCTTTGGAAACCCACTGGAGGACTAGCAGTTCCAACTTGATGGCACATGACAACAACTTGAAAAACATAACTAGGTTTCTTTTTCTTTGCATCTGATTATCTTTTAACTGAAGAGGTAATGTGTTCACATTGATTAGAATGTATTTCCATCATCTTGTTTTGTGCCTTTTGTCTCCCATTTCTTAGATTTTTTTCAGTCCCCTCCTTTCTTGTCTTCTTTCAAATTGGTTAGTTTTCTTTTGTATTTTGATTTACTTTTTTCTACAGTAAATAGTTGTTTCATTTACTTCGGACAGTGAATAGTGGTTCTTTATATGCTTGCCAGGAAACTGAACTTGCATATTTAATGTAACAAATCGAATGTCCTTACTCTCTTTCTGGACTAGAGATTAATTTTTTTAAATAAATTTTATTTTATTATTTTTGTGTGAATGTACCATCAAATCAGATTTGACTGGTACAGGAGGAGACTGCCCCTCCTTCCCCGGCAGAGCACCTGGTGGATTTGAACCATGTGCCTCTGGGATTGTAGTTGCAGCTTCTTGCCACTACGCCACCAGAGCTCCCCAAATTGGACTAGAGATTTTTTAAAATCTAATTTCTTCCTTTCAGTTTACAAAATATTGTCTAGAATTTTAGTTTATATTTGTTGTGAATTTACCATTTTATGGTAAATTGAAAAATTAGCTGAGTATGTAATTATAGATTGGTATTTTTCACTCCATGTTTAGTATTATTCCACTGCTGTCTTTTCCCATTTTTGCATCTCTGATGACAGTTGTCACTCTGATTGTTGTTTTTATGTGCCGTCGAGTCACTTGCGACTCATAGCGATCCTATGTACAAGAGCCCTAAACCCTGCTCCATCCTGTGCCAACCTCACCGTCTCTGACACACTCACTCCCACCACCCCAATCACAGAATGGATCCATCTCATCAAGGGTCTTCCTCTTCTGCGCCATCCCTCTGCTCTCCCAAACATGATGTCCCTCTCTAAGGACCAGTCCCTCCCTGCAACATGCCCAGAGTATGTCAGACAAAGCTTCAGAATCCTTGACTCCAAGGAGCAGTCAGGCTTGCCCCTCTCTAGGACAAACCTGTTTGTTCTTCTAGCAGTCCATGATATATTCAACACTCTTTTCCAGCACCACAGCTCAAAGGCATCAATTCTTTCTGTCATCCCTAGTCACTGTCCAATTCTCTGATGCA